AAACAATATTTTCTAATTTTATGTCATATTTAATCTTCATACTTACCTTTAGCTCCCGCTCTTGCAAAAAAGAGGATGCGGTCACCAACATTTCTGTCAGCTCTCTTATCCTGTCTTGCTGCTCCTTCTGAACAGAATTCTTCTCTTCCAAGAGTTGTGCTAACTGATCTTTGGTAGGAGAATGTGACAAAACCTAAAACAGAAGATACCAAGGCTGCTTATCAAATGGAAATTTTGGTTCTGCAAGGAAATAAATAGGAAGAATTTGAACATTTACATTTGCATTACAGGGTTTAACTTAAGGCTGCAATCATATGGTCTGTGAAAAGGTAGTCCAGGAAACATTATCTATGGTAGCATGTCCAAGGAAGAAGAGAATATTTTTGACTTCTTCAGCTGGAGATCATAGAAATCACTTTCTAAGTCAAGCAAAGGTTCAGTTGATCAACACTTTCCTGCTTCCCAGTGTCCCCAACAAAGAGGAAAATTTACTAGTGACTTTAAAAAATAAAATTATTAAAGTCACCAGAGGAGAAATAAAAAGAGCTAGCTACAGATTACTAACATATAATAAGAAGCTTCTCCCTTTCCCTTGTGATTGTCAGGAGTCCATAAGTTGTGGAGTTCTATTAAGTAATTGTCCAGCTTCTTCACTGGTTCTTAAAATTTCTGTTCAGACTCTACTCCTGCTCCTATCGCTAGATGCATTTCCCCCCAGTTTTTCTATTTGTCCTAATACTTTTGCCATATTCAACTGAAACGTAGGTAGCATCTAAACATACATAACGAGTCATTTATTCTCTTGGAAGAAAATGAAGTTCAGAGTCTGAAAGTTTGTGACATGCATCATTCAAGAAACTGGACAATTAATGAGTTTTTAGAACAGGGACACTTTCAAGGGGCATGCTAACTGATGGATTTGGCCTGCTGGCCTGGAAAACGACCGATCCAATCCATTTAGATTAGGCAACTTACTTCTTCCAGTTGGCGTTTCAAATCTTCTATTTCATTACAGTATCGCTTTAGAAGAGCATCATCATTAAGAACGTCATTGACTTTCGGGGTATTCTTCATTTTTTTGGCCGTACTGGCAAACTAGAAGAGACAAAATATGTAGAGAAGGCCAGTAATATAATAAAAATCAGTATAATTTTTAAAAATTTTCATTACATTCATAAACTGAAAACATGCTATTCTTACTGGATATTTCTGCTCTAATGTATATTTCTTTCTTTATGAAGTGTTTCCCCCCACCCCCCCCATTAGCATTTTGTGTAAACAAAATTGAGAAGTATGTAAA